TCAAGAGTGGCTTTCCCTTAAGGGTGGTCTCCATGCTCTTAACTGCTAGGAAATACAAAATTACGGTCCTATTTACATAGTAACTAAAAGTGAGAGTTCTTGTGTGAAGCCTGCAGCCTGTAGCTCTTAAATGAGACTTGTTTTTGTTTCTTCCCTGGTAGCAGTTCTCTCAGTCACTCTAGAATCGATGTTACTCTGTAGGAAGGAATCCTATCTTTGTATTCCCAGGATCCCCTCCAGGGGCCACACAGGAAGATGGTCCCAGCCACTATTGCTAAGCAACTGCTCTTAAGTAACAATATTTCTCTAACTGTGATTCTCCTGTATTTCTGGGCAATAATGAGGTGGTGTCCCTCGGGAACCTGTTTCTTGGACCTCTGGTGATGATGCTGAGGACTGGCTGGTACCTGGTCTGCAGGTGCAGAACACAAATGCACAGCTTCCCACAGGGTTCAGATTCCCTCAGGGGGTGGTGGCTGGCTTTGGAGGCCCTGAGGGACGAGCAGGACATATACACAGTCACCTTTTATGGCTTCACTCTGAAATGTGGCAATACTAGTCTAGTGAGTAGAATTAAGTGTCTATCCAGCCCAGATCCAAGAAGGGGGAGACTGTAGACTCCACCTCCTGATGAGGGAGAGGCTCTTCACACATAGTAAACACTAAGTAGATGTCTGTTTCCAGCATTTACTACATTTTGAAAAAGCAAAGAAAAATGAGAATGGTGTGCAGTCTCAAAAGATCTGAACAGAAGTCAGAAATAATGTTGCAAATTTGATCAACCTATAAAACACACTATCCACGCCTTTATTAAAGGGAGTGCCGCTAATCTTATTCAATCTCTCGGTAGGAAGTAAAACCTCATCCATCTGCAGTCATGTTCACTACAGCACCACCCATAATGGCCAAGATACAGGGCCAGTACGATGCCCATCAGCCAATGAATGGACGACCGTGTGATGATGCACAGTGGATTTGAAGCTAGCAGTAAAAAAACCAAACTACATTTCTGCAGGCAAGTGGATGGAATCGGAGACCTTGGTGTTAAGGTAAGTAAGCTGCTCAGAAAGTCAAATACTACATTCTCTATGTAAACTCTACAATACATACAAACACAAATATAGGGGTGAACATGAAAGTAGGATTTTGAGGGAAGAGGTCTAAGGGGGTGGAGAAAAGAGAAGACAATGGAGCAAAGACAAAGTACTGCATGTTTTCTCACATGCAGAGTTAGACTCAGCTATATATATACATATCTCCTTCATATATGTATCTTGTTAGTGGAGGCCACACCATTTTTTGTAAAGCTTCTCCATTTTGGCCGAACTCTGATGATTACAGAATCTAAAATAATTTGGTCTTCAGAACCAGAGTAATCTGTTTCTCTAGCCACTTGCCTTCCCTTCCTACCAGCCCATGTAATGGCCAACCAGGAGAGATGTCTATCCATTCTTTAATTGGCTGCGGGGGGAGGAGGAGTGACAAACTCTTCAGTCTAGTTCCCCTCCCACTTCCTCTAAAATGTATAAGGAACTTTCACTCTGCCACATGGGTTTGAACTCTTCTTGGAGCCCCTGCATGTTGCTGCCTGTCTGCCTGTGGCGACTATCTCTTTTCTAATACATATATATATATATATATTTACAAATGGCAGTCTGTCATATTACACCCTTGAATCCAAAATCTGAAACCTTTCACATACATGTATGTGACACAGATGAGGAACTACTTGGGGTGTAGAAAGAAACCACAAGGAGACAAGGGCAGCAGGAGGGATGGCTAAGAGCAAAGAACAATTTTATATCTATCTATCTATCTATCTATCTATCTATCTATCTGCATGCACATAATTAATTAGAGCCACATATTTCATAGCACAAGACAGTGAATGTTTCTGCACCAAAAGAAAAGGGAGACTGTATATGGAAGTTTCTGTCCCTCCCGGTCACACAGTCATTCCATCCCAAAGAAACACACAGAGGCTTATATTAATTATAAACTGTTTAACCTATTAGCTCAGGCTTATTATTAACTAGCTCTTAAGATTTAAATTTTTTAACCCATAATTCTTGTCTACATTTACCCATATGGCTTGGTACCTTTTCTCAGTAAGGCATTCTCATCTTGTTTCCTCTGTGTCTGGCTGGTGACTGCATCTCTGCCTTTCCTCTTCCCAGAATTCTCCTAGTCTGGTTGCCCCACCTATACTTGCTGCCTGGCTACTGGTCAATCAGCATTTTACTTGCCAACATGAGTGACAATTCTTTCCAGTGCATAAGAGTATTATTGCACAGCAGGAGGGGGAGCTGGGTTACTCCCAAAGGTGTGCTGTCCAGAACAGAACCATTTCTGTGGGGGCCATCATGTGTGGGCAGCACAACAGCAGCCAAGGCCCTGGGGTCGGAGTGAAGCCATGAAGCAATGAGGCTGGTGCCACAAAGCAGACCCAGATACTGATCTCACTGCTCTATAGCTATATCTCCAAGTACGTTTACAAAATATTTCTTTCACAAGTTAAAACAGCATCTACTACAGACAGGCTTAATTTTGGTAAAAAGAAACTGAAAAGGATAATATGTTAATTCAACATTTGCTGTACAGATTCCAGAAACACATGCATCAAAATCTCGAATGATGACTCCCACAGTAACTGTAACTCGGCTATACAACATACATAATGGAAGAAATGTTAGCTGCATCCGCCAGGACAGAAAGCACTGGGTAAGCATGAAGGGGCTGAGTTATGCTTGCTGTGGGGCTCATCACTTTCAAGTATAGAGAATATATAAAAATTGAAATCATAAATGCATGCATTATTTTTTTGTTTACTTCTAATTTTTGATTCAATTTTATCATCTTTGCATCCAAGCTACATTTTCCTTCCACAAGCTGCAAATAAATGTCTCGTGAGGTTGGAATCCACAACATTTGATCTGGGTCTCGTTTCTCAGGCAGGCTGCCTTCTGGGGACCGCATCGTTATGCCATGCACTCTCCAAATCAGAAATGTCAGGGCGTGCCTATGGGGATCCATTTGTCTCCTTCTCTTTTCTCCCTCAAGGACACCAAGGGGGAAGACAGAAAAAATACCGGCAAAAACAGGAGTATCGTGGAGAAGCTTAAGAAGGCCCGGAAGTGCAGCAGGGGATGGACCCTGTCACCACCACCCATGCCCCTGTGTGCCCCTAAGCAGAAATGAGAACAACAGCGCAGCACATTTACAACTTTCGGAATGTTTATCACACCGTTATCTCATCCGTCCCTCATCCGTCCCGGACACCATTATCTCATCCGTCCCCGACACACTGTTTCATTCCACTCCCTGGGACTTTGAGGGTATATTTCGGGAGAGGTGTTAGTTTCTGTATCTGCTCACACACGATTTACTTACTGAAGACAGAAGAGTTTCAAATAAGGTTAGAGCTACAAGCAGACTTTTTAAGCTTTTTGCTTCAATTGTATTCTGAAAATTTAAGAAGAGAAACGAAAACAAAAACAAACAAACAACAACAAACCCTTGCCCTCCCAAAGCCTGCCCAGGTAGAATTAACCCTAACTCTCAGGCTGGTTTAAAAGAGGACGCTTCCCCACCTCCCCACCTCCGAGGGAGAGCCCTGTTTCCGGCCGTCTTCACATCAGGGTGTGGTTCTTGACGTTCAGACTCTGGCCCAAGAGCAACCCCTTTGCTACAATCCTCTCACGCCACGGGCATGCTCTCCATGACCTGGGTGTGGTCTGGACAGAGACAGGGTCAGATGGCTCTTACTTCGACCTCCTGGCCACCCACACTTCTGTGTGTCCTCTTCCCATGCTCAAGAAGATGCTTCCAGATAAAAACTTCCTTTTTGTCTTATACAGCATACCAATAAAAAATGTCAATTAAAGACGCAGAGCTAAAGAAACCCCAACATTACCTGTACTAGTCCAGGAGATGACAATCTTTTGCCTGTGAAATTATGAGTCTTGCTTATAACTACAACACAATATTTTAAGAGCTAAAAGGTAAAGAGATTCTGTGGTTTATTAACCACACTCAGATGCCAAGGTCTGAAAGGGAATAGAGCTTCTGAGATTGACCACAACACAGGTCAGTCCTCCTTCCATCACAGGAAAAAATGGAGAGATGATTGGCATTCTAGAAGCATCAATGTGGGGGATGAACTCTTACATCTTATGGAATACAAAGGGATGTTTAGTGCCTTGTGGTATCAGGGCCAGCAGTGCGCATACACGCTCCATGCATGCCATCCAATTACGGGACTGTCCTCAGGGAAAGCAAAGATCCAGCTAGTTGGCAGTCTGACTTTTCCAGGATAAAAACTAAAGAGGATACAATCAATTCTAGAAGCTCACAGAATGCTTAAAAATGGAAAATAAGCGGGCATGTTTCTCTGAGCAGTTAACAGAAGAAACTCTCTAAGGCACAAGTTTCCAGATGGACAGCTACCGAGGTCTTTGTTTTCATTTCCCTTGCAGTTAACTCGGCAGATCCCAGGAATGGCTAAGAGTCGGTAATACCCTCCAGAATGAACGCACAAGGTAAGGGAACAACCACGGATCATAACATGAACACTACATGTCTTTTATTCGCTGTTGTTTGTCTAGGCTGACCTGAGGGCTCACATGACCTCAGCCCAGCCTCCTGAGCAGTTTGGATTATAACAAAGTACCTCCATGTCCGGTTCACAAAGTATTCTTGAAGAATATCCAAGGAGGGGGAAAAGCTTAATAATATGTTATAAAACAAAACGATTATGAATGGTATATTCTGTATACACTGGGCATTGGGGAAAAATATACATAAATAAAAATACCCAAAGAACACACACAAAACTATTTACAGAAGTTACCGCTTTTAGTGATAATTAATACTTTCACAATTCTTACTTTCACAGTGAAAAGAGGACAAAAACAACCAATATATTCCAATGTCACTGTCCCAGGCTTTATATCACACACATGCACAAACATAATGAAAACAGTTAATGGATAATAAACAAGTGTATTAACAGTATTTTAATGATAAAGTCAAACGTTCACTAAAATCATTTTTTCCTAATTTCTTCCCAAATTTACACACAAGCAACATATTTAAAAACATAAAAATCTATGCTTTTATTCAAGGCTGCCATCTTCCATTTGTTCTTCTCCCACATCCATGAGTCTAAAAGATGAACTTCATGTGCTTGATCCCGTAGGTCTTAAAGAAGACCATGATGATGAGCGCCCACAACCCCAGGATGAAGCCACCAGGAGGGTGCCAATCTTTCGGCTTTGGTTTCTGCAAAACAAGGACAACAGGGCCAACTTAACAAGAGGTGAGGGACTCAGCAATGGGTAAAGTAAGTGCCAACAGGAAAGAGGAGTCCAGGGGTAATGAACATGCTGGGACAGCAATAGCGGGAAAGACTTCAAAGGAGATAAACATCTGGAAGGCAAGCTGACTCCTAACAAGATCAGTTCTTCAGAGGGGTCCGCCCTGACCACCAGGGCCAGCCCCTCCCCACCGCCAACCTGCTCAGCAGAGGAGAGTCCTGCCACTGCTTATTTCTATTAATTTCAGTTTTCCATGCCTCGTCTTTCCTATTGAACTATGGCTCCATGAGGGCCACGCTGCTGATAGGAAACACTCACACATCACACTAAACCAGAGGACAAAGACATCGTAGAACACTCCAGGGTTCATCCCAAAGCAGCAACCACCTGTTGGGGCCCAGAGAATGCCTTTACCCTGTGCTGCCTCAAAACTCACTGACCAAAAGACGCTAGCTCCCAGGGTCTTCCCAGCTGAACTCCCGCACAACTGCATCCTCCCTCAGCCATCGCTCCTACCCCCACTCTTCATTACCTGTCTTGAGCATCTCCACACCAACCCGCTGAGGCCCAAGCCTGCCTGAGTCCACAGGACACATCTCTAACACAGCCACGGTCCACGCTGTATCATGTGTGCCTTTGTCTACAGCAAGCTTCTCAACCTTCCTAACACTGTGACCCTTTAATACAGTTCCCTGACCATAAAATTATTTTCATTGCTACTTCTTTTTCTTTTAAGACCAGGCTGGCCTCGTACTCAGAGATTCGCCTGCCTCTGCCTTCTGAGTGCTGGGATTAAAGGCGGCGCCCCCACCGCCCTTCAACATCTCTGCAGTTTTGCTGCTGTTAGGAACCATCAAGTTTTCTGATGGTCTTTGGCAATCACTGTGAAAGGGTCACTTCAGCCACTGCAACCCCATGCAAACCCCATCCTACCCAAACCCACCTAACTCCTCCAAGACTCCCAAGTGCCTCCACTGTCTGCAAGTCTTAAATGCTGGGCCAGGAGGAGATGGCCAGCCCAGTTCTTGAGTTGCTTTGCTCTGCTAGAAACTGCTTGGCCGTGAGGGCGAGGCTCCTGAGAGGCTGTGGGAGCCTGCTGTCTTCCCGCCTGCTGTTTCTACGGGGGAAGACGGACCTATGGGATGGCCCAAGCCGCATACTGCATCCCAAGCTCTGTAGTGGCACACCTTGTCATATATCCATTTACATACAAGCCCCAAAAGCCATGTGACATTACAGCGGGTACTGACACACAGACTTCTATCTAGGCAGAGGAGCAGGCATCTGTGTGGTAAGCCATCTTCCAAAGGACATACAGCATCAGCCCTGTCAGTCCCAGGTGAAAGACCTGAGTGTACTTCTCGTATTCCCACTCTAGTTTAGCTTCTCTGCTCCCTGCCAGGCCTGGGAACAGGAAAACCACCCCCTGGACACAGATTTGAGAAGTCTTCACACTAGGGCAGAGGGTACACTCACACTCTGTTGAGGCCCAGAACTTACAGACCCAGGTGGAAGTGGGGAGAGCAGAGTCAACTTGAACCTTGCGGCTTAATAAACCTTGATCGTGCACACCGCAACAGAGACAATAGGAGGGACCAGAGCAAACAAAGCAGAAGGAGAGCCTGGAGCCCTGAAAGCTGTCCTAAGAGCTCAACACGTGTGTAGCAGCAATGGACACACACAGCAATAATAAATAAAATAAAAGGAAAACCATAAAGAAAATCACGAAGAAAAATGCCCACCACTGCAGAGATACATCCTGAGGACATAGGGAAGACACTTGTAGATAAAATTTAATAAGGACCATGATATAATTTAAAAAATTAATATTCAATATGAATTTTAACAAAAATGAACAAATAATAGAAAACACAAAAATTATCTTGTGGTCAAGCTGTGTGGGTGGCAGCTGTTAGGGGGATGAACAGCCCCTTCACAACCGTTGTCTAAGACCATCAGAAAACACAAATATCTACATTACAATTCATAGCAGTAGCAAAATTACAGTTATAAAGCAACAATGAAAATAATTTTATGGTTGGGGTCACCACAACAAATTGTATTAAAGAGTCTCAGAGTTAGGGAGGCTGGGAACCACTGGTCTGAGAAGAAAAGAAGGACAACAGGCCAAGATGAAACGGAAGCCAGCAGCACGATTTCCTGCAGTAAAGGAAGCTTCACTCAGGCTAGGGGCACTGTGATCTCCGGGTTCTTCATTCACTGGCCTACAGCAGGTCACATTGAGGGTGGAGTCTGCGGGGATGCAGGTCAGGGGTAGAGCACTGGTCCAGCATGCGGAGACAAGGTCTCAGATTTCACTGCCAAGCTGGGGACAGGAGTGATGTTTCTACACCCTGCTTCTGGAATCAGCTGGTCTAGAAACAGCTTTTGGTTAAAGGAATGTAACTCAGGTGTAACCTCAGGGTTTTCTGGTTTCTGTGCTCTCTTAGACACCTGCTCCCATCATGAGAAAGCCCAAGTTTCTGGAAGAAAAGTGGAGAACAGACATCTTTGCAGCAAAGCACAGCCAGGTACACCAGAGCTAGGCCGTCCAGCTCACCACAGCCAGGCTCACCACAGGCAGGCCAGAGAGCGCAGAAGACTGTCCAGATGAATTCAGCCCAAACTGCCAACCTGCAGAACTACCAACACAATCAACAATCAAGGTTTGAAATCACTAATTTGTGGAGTGGTTTATTGTGCACCAACAGTCTAGGAAAATCTTGACTCTTACAGTCCTAACAGAAAGACCCCACTGGTCCCCAGGCAGCTTCAGATTTTTACAATGTGCCCGCAGGGGCCTGAGGGATCTGACCCATCTCGCTCCACCATCAACTGTCCTGAGACAGCTCAGTTCTGTCAAGATCATCGCTGACCTTCCCAGGGAGAGAAATCTAGTCAGAGGTGAGGTCACAAAGTCAAGACCTCAGCAAGTCCTGCCTCGTCCCAGCATCAAATGCCTGCTCGGTCATCTGTACTGGCCGTCTGCAGCAAGGGAGCCACTAGTGACAGTCAGATGCTGCCCCCTACTGGAAAAGAAACCTCTCCCAGACCCTGCTCTCTTTCTTTCTTTCTTTCTTTCTTTCTTTCTTTCTTTCTTCATTTCTTCCTTTCTTTCTTTATTAAAGATTTCTGCCTCCTCCCCTCCACCGCCTCCCATTTCCCTCCCCCAATCAAGTCCCCCGCCCTGTGGGAAGTCCAAGGACCACCCACCTCCATCCAGGTCTATTATCCGTTTTTTTTTTTTCCAGAGCTTACCCCTCTTCATAGACTAATGTAATTATTTACCTGACACGGCATGCCATAGGTATTCCTATCTGCCTGTTGTTTTTAATATTGCTATTGTTAATGAAAAATAAAATCTAGTCTCTTTCTTTTACTGACACAATTGGTGACTATTGACTTTAAAAAGAACATTTATTTCAAGTATGAACTCTTCTTGGTAGTCTTAGAGGTGAGTCTGTGTACTTTGTTATATGTATAAATAGCTTCAAATGAAAGTTTGCTGTTCTTTCTCAGGAGTGTATCTGGATTGGCCAGTGAGAATAGAGTATTATTAATAAAAACCTTAACAGTAGCATTCTCATCACAGAAGTGAAATTCTTGGGAAGGAAAGGCTGTATTAGCGCTCCATCAGAGTGGAAGGACAGTGCAGAGCAGTCATCATAATTACCCAATTAGATTAGCCACCTGTCGGTTACTCACCAGGGTCAAGAGCTAAACATCAGCAAGCAACCTGAGCGGACTGCGCCCGTGTAGTATACAGCCCCCAACATGCTTCCATACGATTTTAGTGGTTTAAGAGATTCCCATCCCATAATAAGGAAGTTAAAACAACATGAAAATAAAATATGAAATATGGCTTATAATTCTGTAACAAATATTGAAAGAGAGAAATACACCAATATCTTAGCTTTGTTTTTCTGGAAGATGTAGGATTACAGGTGGATACTGATCATCTCATATTTATCTGTACTTCTAAAGAAAGTATATGTATAGAGGGTATGAATTTTATGTGAGGCAGGTAAGGGGAATACACAGGAAAAAAAAACCGGCATTAAAAGTGTCTCCTGGCTGTGGGAATATCTCAGTAGTTAAAACACTTGACATGCAAATATGAGACCCGGAGTTAAAATGCCCAGAAACCCAAGTGAAGATGGGTGTGCCCATGTATAACTCTAGCCTCTGCAGGCACAGACAGGAGACTTGACATATATGTGAGCTCTAAGGTAGAGCAGCAGTGGATGATGATTCCTGACATCAGCTTTGACCTCCACATGCAGGAAAACAGATGTGCACGCACACACACGCACACACACGCACACACACACACACGCACACACATGCACACACACATGCACACACATGCACACACATGCACACACATGCACACACATACACACATGCACACATGCACATGCACGCACACATGCGCACACACATGCACACACATGCGCACACATGCACACACACATACACACATGCACACACATGCACACACATGCACACACACATGCGCACACACGCATGCACACACATGCACACATGCACACACACATGCACACACACGCACACACATGCACACACATGCACACACACGCACACACATGCACACACGCACACACACATGCACACACACACATGCACACACACACAAAGTGGAGAAGAAAGTAAAAGAAGCTTCACATACTTGTCCCACTGGTGGGAGCATTCCACACCATTCCACTCCTGACATGCTAGCTACCAAACAGCCACAGGGTACCATGACAGCAGCATGGCACAGAGTGCATTTTCAGTGTGTGTTCAACGCTATTCCTGCCCTAACAGCACTGCTATTGTAATACAACTATGTGATATTTTAGATATCCTCCAATGATTTTTCCTTACAGTCAAGTGAAAGATCAGTGTAATTACTGCATTTTGTAGTACAGCTGTATTTGAAGTGAGCTCATATTAAAGTATTTT